GCCAAATTGGGCTACATTCTTTCCTAGTTTGCGTCCAAATTGGTAGATGGCGATGCGGCTATTTTGGGGCTATTTCTGGGGATGCAGCGAACTTTTGTGGAACCTCAGGTTTGACTAGTTAATTTACAAACTCCCAATCAGTTTCGAAAAAAAAATATTTGGTTAGTATAGAGGAGAGAATGAAAGGAAAAATGCTTCAAACTTGTACAAACTTAGGGGTTCCGCAATGCTCAAAGAAGCAATGTTTGCGGAGTTCAAGCTGTCAACCCTCAGCTCAGTGGAACGAGCCTAACTAACAGATTGCACTGTTAAAACTGGTCTGGTAACGCATCTTCTACACCGACGTAAACTGAACTCTACAAACGCGTGATAAACCAATTGTTATAAACCTTAGGCACGCAAATTTGTAAAAAAGATAAGTCCGCAGCTTCATCGTGTAGCAATTGGCTACCTTCCAGTCGTCGCCCACAATAAGAAAGGACAACACGATCAGAAATTGCATGAACCGGAATGGGGGACATTCATATTCTACGCAAAGCAAAAAAGCGGGTGGGCTATTTTATTTAATTATTTATTACATGTTACCCGCAGCGCCAAGAGGCATTATTGCAGGGAGGGGGGGGGGGGGAGGTGTGAGGATACATTTGCAGAAGAATTACAGTCGCCAAATACAGAAATACAAGGAAAAAACAAACGAATTCGCAATAAACATTGAGTGGCAAGTTTATAACACTTTAACAAGTGGATCCACATTGGTATTAAAGGGATACTACAACAAAATTTCGGCGCTTATTTTTTGGTCTATATGTGTTCAAAGGAGCAGTATCACATCGAACACACCAATATATTGTTAAAAAAGGCACGAAAGCGAATTTTAAAACGAATTAAACGATTAGCAAAGAGCGCCTGGTGGATGTCGCCAACACCTCGTTTGTAATACCCGTCTAGGAACCTTGAGAGGTAGTGACGGTAACTGTCTCGCCTCCGGCCACAACAAGAGAAGAGGGGAAGGAGGAACTTCCCTCTTCCCGAGAATCCCTTTTGTCTGACCCAGAAGTCGCTATTGTTCCTCTACAAGATTATAGAAGATTAACCTGTCACTCAAAATTCGTACAAAAGCAGCCGCTTCGGTGGATGGAACGACTAGGCCATCCTCTCGACGTCAGCCTTGCTGTAGCTTTGCTGGTCCCGAGACGAACTACGTCACGATTGCATTGGATGCCACGTAATTTCCGCTGGCTCTTCTCTGAGCGCTTGCCAGAGTAGGCCGTTTATAACAAAAAATACAGCCATCAGGCTCAAAACACAAACGTGCGATTTTCACTTCCGGATATTTTGGATCATATTCAACCTATTTTTCAACACGACGGATATATTTCAAATTTCTTTGAAATATCCCTTTAAGGCTTAGCCACCAATATCATATTTCGTACAAGTAAAGGTGGGAAGACACAAAGCACAGTGCTACAGATCAAGCATTTTGAATATGCGTCCACAAAGAGAAAATTCACCTTCCTTATTCCCAGTTATCACGTGACAGTTTATCAAAAAAATTATCAGACGATGGAATTGAAATCGTTTCCTCGGGCAGTTCGTTCGTTTGTTTAATGGTATTGGGGGAAAATTATAATTTGAATATAATAGCCATAGCGTAAAAGACTCTAATATTTTTTTGGAATGACCTAATCTGCGAGATAAAAAGTGTGGCAGTTCAAGGAATTTAGTTTTATCCAGTCCTGTTTTATCATGATATATTATATGTAAAAATTTTAAACGGAGGCGGCGTTTTCCAAATTTCAGAGGTTCCCAGAGTAATTGACGTTTTAGGGCACTAACACTTTGTTTGAAATTTTAATTGTTTGTAACGAACCAAGCAGCTTTGCTTTGGATTTGTTCAATGTTCTGTTCTATATAGCGTTCTTCAGGGTCCCAGAGCACGCAAGGGTATTCTAAGATAGTCCTCACATTAAAAATAAACATGCTGTTCTTATTTTTTTTTAATTGGAAGGACAATTGTGAAAATTCTCCTCAAGAAATTTAGCACACGGTTAGCTTTGGCCGTCATATAGTCTACCTGCGCGCTCCACGATAGGTTTTCTGAAAACTGAAGGCCTAAATATTTTACTTTGTCCACCTCTTGTTGGGGCGCCCTGAATTGAATAGCTAAAAGAAACAGGTTGTCGGTTTCCGGTAAATGTTATATGATTACATTTGTGAATATTTAAATTCATTTTCCATAATTCGCACCATCTTGATAGGCGATTAATATCTTCCTGTAGCTCTAGATCGTCTGAGTATGTCCTTATTTTGCGGTATAAGACGCAATCGTTCGCATAAAGACGAATGCTTGACGTAATGTCTCCAGAAATGTCATATATATATATGAGGAATAAAAGCGGACCTAGCACTGATCCCTGTGGGATTCCTGATGTACTTCTAAATACGATAATGTTTTCCCATTTACTAAAACAGTCTGTCTTCTATTTGTAAGATAATCAGTAAGCCATTTAATATTATTTTCAGAGATATTAAAAGAAATTTAATTTGTATAATATCAATTTATGGAAGATTTTGTCAAAGGCTTTTTGAAAATCCAAGAAAACGCAGTCTACTTGCACGCCTTTATCAAAACAAAAAGAAATGTCGTGATAAAGATCGATCAGCTGGGTATCGCACGATAAACCACTTCGGAAGCCATGTTGATAAGGAATAAAAAAGTTATTTCTGTCGAGATGTTTTATCAGGTGGCTGTATATTATATGTTCTAGAACTTTCAAGCACACACATAAAAAAGAGATTGGTTTATAGTTTTCTACCTTATTTTTTCCGCTCTTGTGGGCAGGAACAACGTGAGCTGTTTCCTATTGGTAATTTACCGCTTGATAGTGAGTCATCAAATAATACAAATAAAAAACTACACAAAATGCCTGAACACTATTTTAATATGCGGCCTGGTATACCTTCAAGCCCAGTGGCCTTGTGAGAGTCAAAATTGTTTAGTAAATTAAGAATTCCAGCTTTACAAAGCTCAATATCCAAAATTCTCTCTTCTCAAGACTCCAAATTGAGAGAAGGGTTATTCAACAGGCGAGAATACAGATTCCAAATAGCTATTAAAAAGGCTTGCTTTCTCAGCCTCATTATCTATCATCTGTCCCGAGTCGTTGATAGTTGGAATTCCTGGCTCATCTTTGTTCGAACTTTTCACGTACCTCCAAAGTTCCTTCGGATTTCGTTTGAACTTATCATCAAGGGTGTAGTTGTAGTTCGTCGCTTTGCTTTTAAAAAAATGTTGTTAGTTCCTTTGGATGGACCAAGAGGCTCTGTTTTCCACTTTTTCTTTATCAAGAGTAGACGTCTCTTTTTCTTAATGATTGTTCGTAGTTCTTTAATTATCCAAGGCTTGTCTTTGGGTTTTCTTCCTGTTATAATTTTTGTAGGAATATGGATTTCAATTAAAGCTTTTAATTTAGTTTTTAACATATCCCATATCATTTCCACATCAGAGTTGTAGCTGAATTCTATGAAATATTGGAAATAATAAAAAAAATTGTCAGCTAAAGCGGATTAGTTCCCTTGATCGAAAAAATGAATTTTCCTCTGTGCTTTTCATACATTTTTTTTTTTCTTTTGCGCATTTTATTTTCCCAACCCGCTTCGTGATCGCTGATACCGGGAACAACGGAAGTAGAAGAGATAACACAACATTCACTGCTAAAGATTGGGTCTAGCGTGCTGTCCTTCCTGTGGTCTAAGCGTGTAGGAAATGTAACGTGTTGGTATAAAGAAAAGTTTAAGGCAAATTCAATAAAGGTCTTTTAAGGTGTGCATGTTTGTACTGATCGGTAGGCCGTCGACCCAGTTAAATATTTATAAGGACCTTAGGTATTCGGAGTTCTCGTTTGAAACACCAAGTGTTCTGACTGCTCTCCTGTGTTCTGTACTTACTTTGGAAAATCTCAGAATAAAAGGTAAGTGTTGTATAAATGTTCGCCCTTCAGAAGCCTTTTCTTTTAATTCAAAGGTGGCATAATGTACACAAAATGTTGCGCATCTGAGTGTTGAAAAAGTAAATGTAATGTGTTTTGCATGTCCGCGAAAATATTGTCAATAGACAATATTTCGCGGACATACTTATACTTAAAAGTCATTGTTTTTAGTCCTGTCTTTTTCGCTGTATTTTTTTTTTTATGGCTTTGGCTGTATTTGGGCTATACCTTCGAGCCGTTAGGCTGTTTTTCTGGTGGTACAATCTGACAACACTGTTGCGGATAGCCATGCCCTGAGCTTCTTAAGTCCTCAGTGACCGTCGTCGTTGCTGTGAAGAACCTGGCCTCACACCATACTCCACAGTAACCAACTTGCGAGCGTAAAAAACACAGGTTCTTAGCTACTTTTTATTTCTTTGTGGAAGACGTGTAAAGGAATAGAGTTTCATAACAAATTGTCACCAAAATGTGAAAAGTAAGCAATAAAGAGAAGTTGGAGGTGGGAAACAAGAGTGTGCAACGTAAGCAGCTAACAAAGAGTGCGTAACGAAAACTATAATGGAAAAGTGTAGTGTGCAATTTCTGTGCTAAATTTAGCGAGTAAATTAAATTTGTGCACGATCATGTGCGAGTCCAAGATTTTCCGTTAATTTAGAGGAGAAACGTTCCCCCGTTTTATATAGAGTTGAAACTTAGACACAAAAAGTAACAACCAATTCATATTTCCATGCTAAATTTATAGGGCTGTTAAACTTCTAACTGACAGTGTCATATAATGTTGTCAGCAGCACGGTGGCCAAGTGACGTCATCATCATGACGTACCATATAAGGCCAACTCAGCTTCCTGCTACGTGAGCAGAGCCCTGCATCAGAAACAGAAACAACGCGCCTCGTGTTGCTGCGGTCCAGTCGAGTTTAGCCCTCAACTTAGCCGCCAGGAAAGCGGCCATTGCATCTTCAATCCATTCATTTTACGTAATTTGCGCTAACTGCTTCTTGTCGTTGCGCAGACGGAACCGGTGCGAAGACGCTGAGGTACACCACTCAGCTTGTCTGGCCTCCCGACAAGTGCCGGCGGGCCCTAAATCCCATCGGCTTCTTCTATCCGCTGCAGACGTGTGCGTACAAGAAAGGGTCCGACGCCTGCCAGGTGAAGGCCGTCTGCGCTTATACGGGGCGCAAGTTCGTCTGCACGTTTCGCGGGGGTTGTTGCGGTGACGTCGGAACGCCGAACTCCGATTGGCTCCGATCGAAGGATAGTGGGTAGACCTCAAAGCAGTCCGCCTCGAGGTATACCCCTTATCCATCCTTCAATGGGAGCCAATCAGAGCTGGGTGTTTTGACGCCACCACACCCACTGCAAAAGAAGCAGACAAAGTCGAGCTCCTCGTCGGCTGATCGTTTTTACTGTACGCCGTTTCACATCACGTCTGAGCGCAGCCAACGCTACAATCCGATCGAACCAATCACACAGCGTCAAAGGTCTGTCCTTGTGGCGCTCGCATTGTTTCTGGTTTTTCTATGCGGAGCGCAAGTTTTGTCTGCTTTTTGCACAGGGTTTGCGATGGCGCCAGAGTGTCGAACTCTTATTGCCTGATTGAAAAGAATAGTGGGTAGACCTCAAGGCATCTAGCATTGAGGTATACTTACTATACTTTCAATCAAAGCCAACAAGAGCTCGGAGTCGTTCTGACGTCACGACAACTCGTGGGCAAGAAGCAGACGACTTGCGCTCCACCTATCACGGGCTAAACAAATTACGCCAAAGGAACGCGGCGTAATTCTGTGAATTTTGCTCGACGCCATTGTTTTAGCCAGCTGAGGCACAAAGTCTACGAGTGCTAAGACGAAGGGCAGTTGGTGCACCTTGATTTGCTCCATCGGTACGTAGCCTTGTGTGCGGTCGCACTTGATGTAAAAGGGAATATAGATCATGTTTCGACCGCCCAGTTTCGTAAAAAGGTTTGTTGGAGTTTCTAACATATGTATTTTTCCACTGGCTCGATGTGTCTGACGTTGTTTAAGTAATCTCGAGATCTAGATATTAAATGAGGTGTAAGTCCAGTAAAAAATGAGAGTAAAAAATATTTTTTATAGAATACGGCTGAAGAAGAGAGACGTTTAGTGTTGTGTCGTTTACCCACAGTCTCGGGGTTTTTTCAACCATGTGCAATGTACACCATCTCGTTTGCGCCCTTACATTTTGTTCATTAAACCTTTTCTTTTTTTAATCCGCAAAAACAAAGGTTAGCTGTGTGCAGTGTTTTATATAAAAGATTTTGTGATTTCTGTAATGCTTTCTATAAGTTAATTCATGCGGATGGGTGCACGGATGTCTACATCTCGGATTAAGATAGAAGGGCAACATTTAAAAGACGTTTGCAATAAAGAATGTCGTAAACCTGCTATCGTTAATGTGCAACAAGGTTAGTCATACTTGCAACTTAAAGTTCCACAAAAGTTCGACATAATTTCGACTATTATGCGCGTGCGCGTGAATAAAAAACACGAGCGCACCACCTGGCGGAGAAGGGTGCATTATTTAAAAAAAAAATGCCTGTACGACTGTGTTCATGCTATGGTTACATAGTTATTCTTTACAATATTAAATAGCATATTTTATTAATATTTCTTCCTAAACATTATGTTTTTTTTATTTCTCTTAAAACCGGCATAGTGAATTTTATCGATATTTCTTTTTAATGTTAAAGGTTTCGCAAACCCTTCAACCTAGAAGTTTGGCATCGAACACCGGGTTCGAGAAAGGTTCACAACATAGGTACGTGTCATGCACTCTTTGAGTTGTTTGCCGTTTATCGCAGGGTGATTCTGGAGCGCCGATGATGGTCAAGAATGGCAAGAGATTTGAAATAGTGGGACTTGTCTCCTTCGGAAACGGCTGCAACATCGAAGGTGTGCCAGGAGTCTACACCAACGTCTTCAATTACCTAAAATGGATAAAAAACGCCATCGCTGGTCATGGCGGCAAAGCTGTATCCATGTAAAAATAAAAACACACTTCGTTACAAAAGTAAGAAAAAATATTTTCTTCGCGAAAATATTTGAAATGATCCATTATATGTAGATTAAAAAAAAATATATGTAGCGTAATAATGGAACTCGGAGTTTGTCTTTCAGAATTCAGACATTTCAATTTCGGGTCATTTTTAGTGTGTATCTTATTTCGTCATGTCCTAATTTTTACGAGGCAGGAGCAACAAGATTTAGGTTTCACTAAAATTAATACTTCTTAAATAGCTAACACTGGCCTTCCAACAACAATGGGAACCTAATTTTTTTTTTTCCAAAGTCGGGCATACTTTACTGCTTTCCTTTCTTTCTCTCTTCTTTATTGAAGCGTGCCCTCACTCCTGATTCAAACTGAAAAGTATTCTCAACCAATATTTGGGTTGAAGTGAGTGGCAGCCGACATCTATAAGCCTGCATATTGGTGATATACTGAGCTTCAGTTACGTGAAGGTTTGGCAGTGTTTATTTAATTGAGTTTAATTCACCGTCTCGGGAGATGAAATGGTACCTCACAAGTAGGGCTACATAATACTGAGCTTCAGTTACGTGAAGGTTTGGCAGTGTTTATTTAAATGAGTTTAAATCACCGTCTCAGGAGATGAAATGGTACCTCGCAAGTAGAGTTACATAATTTGTGCTCTCTCCTTCTTCAAAACGAACGTTCTTTATGTTGTTTTTTTTTATTTACACAAAACCTTGATTTAGGTTGTGGTCACGGAACAAGTTACAGCGAATTGATGTACAAAAAAGGGCAATGCAGGTTATCGTGAGTACTACACAAAAAAAAAAAAAAGTTTCACGGTGTTTTAACTTTTTGTGAAACCACAATACATTCAGTAGGGCTGTTTCTTTAGTTTTGTAGGTTTATTTATCTTCTATTTTTTACGTTTTTATGGAAAAAGGGGTGGATGCGAGGCAAGCAGGAGTGACACCGAGCGATACTCGCGGGCTTCCGCTGATGGAGGCAGTTGCCACCTGGTGGATAACGAAACAGTTGGGCGATGCTTTGAAACAGTTTTAGTGCTCGGTGCCGCCGCGTTGTGCCGCCACACACCAACGTGGAGGGACGAATAATGCATATCGTCTTTCGTAGAAAACGCTTTTGGGCGCAGAACTTTATTGCTCGTGGCTCGTGTGTAATTAGCGTCCGCCGTCGGTTGCCGCTAAACGATGCCGCGCACAGTTTAAGGGAGCTGCGGCAAGTGTCGTTAAGACACATCTTAATCAGGGGTCTCCAAAGCACCGGCCGCTGGCCAAATCCGGCCTGCAGTGGTCTGCAGACCGGCACGTGACTTGGGTGGTCCTTCCATTGAACTTTGGCCGGTGGTCCTCTTCTGGGAGACCCACTGCTGCAGGGAAAAAAATAAGCGCGCGAGAAGAAACGCTGTTGCGTCAAACCGCCCGCCCCCCTTAACCCCGAAGTCCTCCCCCACCCCTTCGTGTCGCAGTCCATCTCACCAAGACAGACGAACCACTCATCTCATCAATAAACATAATTCAATAACAACAACAACCCCCGCGTCGCACAACAGCCGCACAAATCAAGATACAAGAACGAGAGAAGATTGACTATCGTAACTCGGGTCCTCTCGCCAGCGGAGTAGCGAGGAATTTTCTTCGGGGGGGAGGGGGAAGGGGGGGAGGGGGAGGGGGGGAGGAAGGAGGGGGAGGGCGGGCGCTGAACACTGCCTTTCGCCATATTAAAAATTGCAAATCGTCATTCTTACTCGAGTTTAATATTTAACCACGGACGTGAAAATTCATTTGCGTTCTCAGTATATTGTGTTTGGTGTCCTTTGTCGTAGTTATTGCATATTTTTATCATTTCTACCATTCTCCTGAGTCTTCTGTCCTGTGTGATTATGACACAGCTTCAATGCACTTTGTTTTATAATTGGTGAGGTTTATGGGCCCCGATTATTGTGCAGTATCATAATTAGCTTAATATTGAATTTCAATATAAAGTATATGTATTCATCGACCTTATATTTTTGCCCAGTTTTACTTTATATTTTAAGTTTGTTTTTATGTGCTTATCTATGATTATGTTTTGGTTATGGCCACATTTGTATTTACTTACAAATTTTTCGGCCCTCAAAGCTGCGGCAGATCCCCAATCCGGTCCCTCAGTTAGAAAGCTCAGAGTCCCCTGCCTTAAATACCAGTAAAACCTTTGTTTCAAGGGAGGGGGAAGAGGAGGTGATAGGAAATGCAATAACCTTTTAAGCGAAGGACATTCTAGAATCAACGAAGTGGCGCATGCTGACGGGCACGCGCGAAGTTGAGATCACATGCTGATGCGCTGGTGTCACAGAAACAAAAGAAGAAAACAACATTTCGTTTGAAGAATTTTTTTTAACTACTCCTAACACAGGGGATGGTATAGTAGACTGTATATACATATATCGACCTTTGTTTTACTGTGACACAAGTTATCGTCGAGGTTTTGCAGCAGATCCCAGTCAGTGTTTGGTGTTCGGAGTAGGGTGGGGGTGTGGGGTCGTGACGCCCCGCCCGCACCTTGTGACGTAACGCAAAACTCTATGGGAGAAATTTTCCAGCCCCCTATCGGTGATATAAAATCTATACAAAATGCAGTCTGAGTTCAATACCGATCATCACGTAAGTGTATTTTATCTGTACATGCTAATGGCTATTTTTTTGCTAGCAGATGAAAAAAGAATTTGAAGACAAGCAGCAATACGGAGCCTAAACATTCCTGACTTTAAGGTGCAACCCCACACTTGGTTAGTGTGATTCTGAACCAACACATGGTGGTGGGATCGCCTTCCAGGCCTGTATATCAATGCCAGAAATCGTGTGTGGTGGCGCTTCGATACAGTGGGGTATTTTGCTACATCCTGAATTTGACATCCCTGGTCCTTCGCTAGTTTTTCTCTGCACGAGCTTTCTTTTGAACGCGGAACGCACACGGCTGCGTCAATTCTTCTGCAAGGGGGCAAGTGGCCTACGCTCCGAGCTCACGTCTCCAGCAAATGTTGTCAGGACAAAACGAGAAAATCGTCCTGAGCCAAATGGCAAACACATATGCACAACAAAACAACCAATGCGTTGAAAAATATAAAATTGAGTGTGCGCCGCTAGCACCCCGCGGGGATTTCGGAGGCCAATTATACAGCCTTCAATATTATCGGATTTATATGACGGGCCGGCCCTTTTGTCGTGCATATGTCTGGCCCTTTATGGATTTCCAGGAAAATGTGATAACCTGACAGACTTGCGTTTCCAAATTCTAGCCTGAGGAATTAAATACCTCAAAAATAAAAACAAATAAACAATTTTTTGCGCGATCAGGTGTCTTTTTTATGTAGCTGGGTGTTTATTTTGAGCAAAACCACGAGACTAGAAAATACAAAATATTACACAGTTTTAGATATTAAGTTTCGCAAACCTAAAGTAGAAATGGTGCGGGGGTCATAATAAAAATAAAATGCCAAGGCTAAAATTTAACTTGCAGCAACAAATGATAATAATTAATTTTATTACGAGCTCAGTGATGAATGCAATGACTGGCCGGGATAACTTTTGCCAAGAGTTTAAGCAATATACCAGTCTTAATTTGGTGATCTATGCACGCAAGTAGTGTGCAAAAATGAAAAAGATGCAAACGGGAAGAGTTTGACGTTGTATAAAGTACATACTGTAAGCACGCACACGGTACGCTGATTGAAGTTGAAACAGCGCTACATTTTACACTAGCGTTCAGCGTATCGAAAGTTAAGGGTGGAACGAAAGCTAAAGCCTGTACACATATACTGCTCAGGCCTTTTGTTTTGAATGTTCATAGTACTTTATTACTCTCAGATTTGGTGTGAGTTGTCTCCTGATCGCTTACAACAGAAAGAAGGAAACATTCTGATTTTGGGTTGATAGAAAAACCCCACCCGCTGACAGCTACCGATCATCTCGGCGCCGATTACGAGTATTCACTGCATGCCAACGGTTGGGTGCTTAGAACGAGTTTTTCCCGGGTGATTTCATACAATCGCAATTGTTCTTGACAAACAACATTTTGTTCTCACGGAAGGAGCCACATGTGAAGTTTACAATATTTTGTATTGATTGTAATTAGTGGCATATGTAAAAAGTGGCATAGTTTTTTATTATTTTTTTTCTTTTTTTTACAATCCGCGAAACAGAATGTTTCGGATGACCTTGATCTCTAAGGCATGCAGCACAAAAAATCGTGAGCTGAATCGCAGTTGGAAACGAAAACAATATTGATAAATAAGTGTATAATCACGAGAAAACTGAGGGTTATACACATATGCAGAAGGTAAGCTTTGTTTTACTAAATACAGCACCAGTAAAGTATTTGGTTTTATCGTGCGAGCGAAGTGTGGAACAAAAAAAGCGCGAGCATGCTACCTTGAACAACTCTTCCAGTGAACACGCCCGCCGGTCAGCCTGGAGCTCGCTTTTATGGATTTTAGTGCGCTCAAAGCTTTTAAAATACAATTATAATCAATTCTATTATTTTATTTATTTTTAGAACATGCGTCTATGTTTTTTGTTGTTGTTGTTTTTTTGTCTTTTGCGTTCACGTTCCATTTTCTTATATAATTTTTTTTCCCAGAAGTCCGACAACTATAGTCTGTTTCATCATAACTAAGAGCCGCAAAATCAATGATGTAATCAAAAAAAAAAAGGAAAAAAAAACGCGATTACGCGAACACGCATTATAAATGCAATGTAACGGCGCATTTAAAATTAGTCGTTAGAGTTTTAAAGAGCAGGGGTTTCGTAGGGCGACATTGTTACCCGTTGTAGATTAAGAAAGTCTAGAACAAGTGATGGCTCAGGGTCTTTAACGTGCATCACGCAGTATATGTGATACACAGTCGCACGATGGTAGTATGCAGGTGGGCGACAGAAGCCAGGGTCCCAAACACAAACACATCGAGGGGCATTAGTCCCTACAGGTTCTGCAGTGTGAGCTCCTTGCCTTGAACGGAGCTTGCA